TTCGTTAGTCCGCCTCAAACCTAATCGAGCGACGGTGATTCTCAAATTGAACACTGTGTAATTGATAGTACTCTCAGTTCTGTTCCACCGGCTTTTAGTTTGAGCATATCAAACACTATTTCTGAAGCCTTTAGTCGTTCATCGTTTCTGGAGAACAACTGAAGTGTCGATTTCGATACGCGAGGGAAGAGCTGTAACAGGAAGCGATAGCTTTGTGGGCCTACACAAGAAAACAAAGTCGTGACACAGCATGGACACATTCCGACCCGCAGACTTAGAATGATTGTAAACATTTGATATTTTTCGATCCTAAAAAGCTCCTGCTCTAGATTTAGATGCAGTTATCAACGCGTGACCATGACTCCTTCACACTTCGGTGGAAGACATACTAAATTCATGGCGAACGAGAGCCGCCCATTGTGACGTCAGAATGTCACCAAACTGATTCGGCTTTTGTCGTTTTTTCTCGGAAAGGTGCAACTTTAAAGCCGTATAAGTTCGAAACTAATTGGAATTTTTTTGGCTGGAGAGGCCCTTTAATTTCAGCATCTTTACTTTAAATTTAAACCGTCGAATTATTTTTTAACACGTCGAACGTTGGACTCGTTGTTTCCCTCGGTTAACCAAAAATCGAATAAACATTAGCTTAGTTTTAAGCCTTTCTTCCGTGATTTAATTTCTTGTTTTGCCTGCCTCTTGAAAATACGATCAGGGTTCTACTGCATAATCCTTACTGTCTAAGCAATCAAAAAAATGTATAAGCCGTATTTTATTCAATCTTTAATTATTTTTCGGAATTTGGATTATAATGTTCTGTTTTCATGCAAATGACTACTGCAAGAATATTTCCAGAGGGTTAATCTTTAAAGGGGTGGTATTTATTCTATGGTGCTTCAGCTGAAGTCTTTAGAACAAGTCGGTAACGGGAGAAAAATCTGATGACGATAATCTAGTTACTCCGTTTGTTGTTCACTCTACTTCATGGAATATGAATATACCGGATTGTTTTCATAGTTGCACAGTTTCTTCAAAGCTTGTCTATTTGCATTTTCGTAATATTCGTCAACTTTCCTGGAATCCAGAGTCTTGGCAATATTAACCAGAAATATCGTTTTCAAAACCAAATGTGCAGAAGGGAACCATACAAAATACAAAACACAATGCTTGCCAGAAGTCTTTTTACATTGCACTAAATTTTGAACTTTCTATACAGTATTCCCCTCGCCCCTTCCGAACGACGTCTTTTTCTGCAATATCAAGTGATTTCATGGTCACGTTTTATGGTCAAATAGTTTCAAATAGCTATGGTAGATAGTTTCTACAACCAACATTGTTTTTGAGGAATGGGGTGTGCTTTCGGTCTTTTTTAGCGGAAAATGTTCATTTGTCATTTCAACGCAGGGTCCACGCCACGAATTTCAAGGTGGAGGGACCAAGTTCTATGAGTCGAACTTGAATTTAGTGCTTCAAAACAGGGCCTCTTTCGAAATATTTTTGCTTAACAAAATTGTAGGGGGAATGGCCCCTCCCGTCTTCCCCCCTTCCGGTGGTGTGGGCCCTGCAACGCTCAAGTAGCTGGACCCTCCTTGGACTTTTGGCAAGAGTCATAGCATCTTTCTTCTTTTTAACACTTAACTCACCTTCTCTCAGACTTCAATGAAAAACACAAAACTTTGTTTAACATCCTTACCTCAGACCTTACGTACTTTTTGCCATCAATTTACTTTATTTGACAGAAATGGATTCACAAACTCTGTTTTAAGATTGTTTTTAATGAATGGAACAGGTCACGCCATGTCATTCATTCCATGGCATGTAATCATTGATAGTAAGTCATAAATTGAGAGAAATGTACGCTACTCATCCTGTTTGGAAGAGTTTAACTGAGTCTGGAAATATCCCGACCCCACGGCCACTGGCAGGAGGAAGGCTATAGAAACCTTTAAGCATTAACGTCTTATAATTTTAATGTTTAAATTTTGACAGGCTTTTGTAACTAATTGACATGTTACTGGAACTTTACATCTGTCTAAAAACATCTAACTTCGAAACAAGCTACAGTTTTTCAACAATTTTTAGGAAAAATAAAGTTGCAAGGAAAGGGGACTAGTTGAGTACCCCCACTTTCCTGACCTTGCCCATTTTAAACCCATTAAAAACGAGGAAGGCTTTCTAGTGGGATTTCCTTGGCCGGAGGAAGATTGGCAACTTTACTGTAGTCTGAAGTTCAAGCCATCGGTGCCCTTATCGTAAACACACCTGGCCTCAGTATAGAAAGGGAAATTCTTTGCCTAGCTCGCTATCAGATTTCCTGTCATCTGTGGCCAAGAACTATTATGTATGGTCTGCAGTTGCTCTCACACAATTGAAGGGAAATTCCCGTGTTTGATACAAGATCCTTGCATACAAGAACCCTTTTTTCGTTTTGCTCATAACATTTTTCACTGATTTTCTTAGCTATTCCTCAGATGGCCCCTAAGTGTGCTATGTGAAGATAAAGTGTATTTGTCGGAGCTGCACTTCAATTTTTCGTAAAATGAAATTTTAAACGTTCACTGTTTGACTGAACTTTACAATTAAAAGGCTTTAATAAGGGCAATTTATATTTCAAGTCTTTACGATAAAGATTCACTAATTCTATTACAAATCTTCTAAAAACTATTTCTGCAGCCTTTTAAAACTATTTCTGTAGCTTCCAGTCTTTGCCTTTATCCATTTTTACTATTTTAATCAATATAGAGTGGCTTGACCTTTCAGGCTAGAAGGGGAGGAGAGGGAGGGGAAATTGAGGATTATCAAGAATAGAATTTACCGACGAAGACATGGATAAAGATAGATTTAGGTTCTAATACACCTATCGATATGCAATTTTAAAAAGGGGGTGCCACACCCCCTTACAGGTCCCCTAGTCTCGCCCCATCCCCGGTTAAACAACTCACCAGTTGTGTTAATTGTAGAACCATTTGAAACTACCCAGTATCGGTTGTCTTAAGTGGCACATTTTCACTTACAGGGGCATTGTATATCGCTGTAGGGTCAAGAAGACCATCAAAATCGCAAGTCTTACACCTCTGGATTCAAATGAATAAGGTAGATATGCTTGTTTGAAGAATTGTTATCGTTAGTGTCCAAGCTTCTCTATGATTGCTATTTATATACACCAATGGATTTCAAAATATTGTCAGTAGTCGTTTCAACGGAAAAGCAGGGAAGGGACGATAGTATAGATGGATCTCATCTAGCATCGTCAGTTTTTTTATCTTCATTTTTCTTCAAAGATGGATCATAGAATTGGAATCTCATGTTAAAATAAGACTGTGCCAGAAATTTGATTGAGCACAGTCAGGACGCGTATTACGCTGTTGTCAAAATTTAGTTTTTCCTAAATATTTCAATGTAATCTTTGATGGAATTTTCCTATGCAGTGAAATAATTCACTGCAGTAGCGAATCCCTGTTTTAGATCTTTAGAAATATATCAATATTAAAAAAGTATTATCTCACAAGCGAACAGTTTAAACGACACGGAGGTTTCAGTAAAGAATAATTTCAACTTGAAGATTTCAGAAGTGAGGTCAATTTTTGACAAAGGTTTGCAGATAGCGATATGTCTTTTCAGGCCCGTAGACAGCTAAACTGGATTGGGAGGGGGTGGGGGCATGGATATCCAGTATATAGTTATGGAAAAGGTGCATTTCTCCAAGAGATCTCCAAACACAATTTTCGAAAAATTATTGGGGGGAGGGCATTGCCCCCTGCCCCCTAGCATCTACGGGCCTGCTATTTGATGATGTCAAATCAGATCCACTCTTTTAGCTTATTTCTTATACAACTCTAGATATATTACTTATCTTTTACGTATGATTGGTCAACGAGAAAACCTTTGTTGGACTCGCTTTGAAGGAAAAATGCGAGGGGCAATTCACTCCTGCAAATAGCGTACGAGAGTTTCCCCAAAAAAGGATTTCTGGGGATTTTCAGTTAAAACAATAGGATTTTCACTAAAGGTGTACGATACTTTCTTGAAATGATTCGCCCTCGGAATAATGAACATTCTGACTGTCTCTGTTTCCGGGGGGCAAATCACTCCAAGAAAATCTCGTACACTTTTTGTGAAAATCCTATTGTTTTATCTGATAGTCCCTAAAAATCCTTTTGTTTTATGAATAATCTCGTGCGTTATTTGCAAGAGAGTCCCTGAGTTGTACTTGAATTCTCCTTATTATGCAACAAGATCATCGTATCGTTATGCAACTGAATGCTTCATTGGATGTCAACCATGCAATAAAGCTTTGCGTGCACGAAAGATAATCATTTGTAGATTAGGAGACATTTCGATATTTAAAAAACTTTAGCAGTGAACGGTTGATATTTGTGACTATTTTGAATTTTTGCTATGATTTGCTACATTGTTAGCAAGTAAAAGCTGTGTTTAGTTCACTGAAAGCGTTTTATAAGGTTGCTTGTAGCGGGATTTTTTAGGAAGCTCGGTAAAGATTCTTCAAGTAAATTTCACTGGCTCATTTTACCCTTCACTGGTTCCATTTTCAAGCATGATCGCTAAACTTCGCTTTGGTGCCAGCTTCCACTTGTTATCCGGTATTCAATAGGCATTTACATGCAGGATGCAGCAAGCCCTTTGAATGCAGGATTCCTGCAGTGCTTGCTAGAACTGACTCCACTTAATTAAGACTGGCCCTTGTTATGGTAAAAAACGAAGTACATTCTAGTAAGTTTATGCAGCCTGAGCCAAGAAAAAAAATGGAGTCGATATTCATTTGATCTCTGACGCAGGCTAAGGTATGTTCAGGTCACAGGTTTTATTATTCTTGCATTCTTTTGTAAGGCAAAAAGCACGTGAAGTGCAAAACAATAAAAAAACATGAGAATGATCAGCTGATGTTGCAGCCCCATGCTTTAGCTTAGATTTATTGGCACAGCAATCTGCAGGGCTGATCAAGATGAATTTAATAAAACTTTACCTTATTGTAAAAAGCTCACCTCGGATTCCTCAACTCGTCCCTGAAAGTTTTCTTGGTCTTTCGGGTGCACCGTCTGCGGAGAGAGTTGCACTGGTTCAATCACGAATGCAAACCCGTTTTGCGGGAAACTTTATGTTAGAGATGACAAAAGATTCATCGACCTGTGTCATTCATGCTCTTTCAACATTGAACTTTATATGTGCCTAGACAATCGATCTACGACCCACCGACTTCCCCTGAATTTCATAACGAACCATTGGCGATAAGAATTCGTCTTTTCGCAATCATCTACAACTTCTAATTGGTTTCGATTTATGCAAAGCGTGGATTATTTTTGATTAATTGTCAAGATATCCTTTTCTCTTTCCTTACTAAAATGTGTTTTCTCTAAGGTTTTATCTGTATGCTTTCTCTTATTTTAAGCTCCAGCTCTCAGATCTTGAAATGTCATCGGCACAGCTTTCCAATGAATCCTTCATCAAACCTAAAGAAATAGTATTGTTTTGGTAGAAATAGAAAGAAATAGAAATATGCCAATGCCAAGCCGTTCTTGAAGTAGTTCCTTTCTTTCATTCTTCTAGTGTTGGAAATTTTTTTATCATTTCATAATTATCATTTCATTTTTTTAAAAATCTGAAAACCTTTGAAGGGTGACGTTTCGTTTTTCCTACGTTCGAAATACTTTACATGTTAACTATGTTAATTCAAAGTGGACTTTTTCAACTGTGATGTCATCCTATCTGTCTAAGCAATCCCTTTGAATTCAAGACATTTACCCAATTTGAAAGTGGTTCACACCTTGTTCCAAAAGATATTTAGATGACCCACATTCAAACATTTCAAAATCTCATGCTTTCGAAATCCCACCCCTTCTTCCTAACAGGACAATATTGAAATGTGACTTCATATACCTTTTGGGGCTCATTGTCGCCGTATTTTGTTCTCACATAAGTAAGAATTTGGTAGGTTTTAAAGTTCAAAGTTAAGATTGGTCAAAATTTCTAACTTGTATCATCTAAAATTTGTGACTTGTTTAAAGCTGGAAAGAATTAAGATCGGTTTTGTAAAGATGGTCTGATATGGAAATTGGCACAGCCTTACTAATTTTAAAAGGGTATTGAAATTAAAAAAGGGCATCATTTAAAACTGAAGTTGGGTCCTAGATTTTAGAGAAATCTGATATTCTTTTTCGTCGCTTTATTAGAATAATGATCTTTAACATTCGGAAGTTTTCCAGATATCTTGGATCTAGACCGCAGTTAGCAGCTATCAATTTCCTACTTTCGATCACGTTTAAAAGCCACGTGCTACTTGTCATTCTAAATGTTTCAGGTGCAATGAATCGATCATCATAACTGGATTGCGAATCTTTCAACATAACTTTTTTCAAAGTTCCACTGCGGTAGGGTTATGGCGGTGGAGAAGTAAGAGGACTGGCCGAAAAATCTTTGGATGCTTTGACTAAATTAGCAGCTTTGTGCATTCTTAGACTATTATGAAAAAGCTTTAAAACGTAGCAAAATTGCTGCTTATTGCAACAATCTCCAGAAACTTTGTTGCTTTAAAGAATGAAATTGGTTACATGATATAACTATGATTTGGATGAGTTACAATGCCTGCAATAATCATGGTACACTAACATCGATTTTCAAGGTGAAATCAAGCCACCCCTCCCCTTTTGAACAATGTTGGTTCACAACAAAACGACATAGGAGGTTATGAAGAACGTTTAAAGGCTCTTGCGCAACCGGTGTGCTTTGCAACTATAATTAAAAGAACCGGTTGCGCAAGAGCCTTTATCCCTGTAACTTGTATGATATTTGTCTATAAACTCAAGATTCTGGAAAAGAATTGCGTAATTTTGAAGAACAATGAAGAACAGCGTAAATTTTTTGGTGTATGCTTTTGTTTGCAACATGGTGGAAGGCCGTACGCAGAAAAGGCTTCAAGGATAGGATTTCCTCAAGAAATTTTCTCTGATGTAACGCCCATGTAAAGCATCACAAAACTTTCTTCACTCAGTCACTTGAGACAATAGAAAGCATTCCTACTTAGATAGCATAAGTGTTTGCCAGGTTGTTTGCCAGTTCCTAGAATTTTTCAGCAGGACGGATAAACAAGCACACGATATAGTAACCATGGTTGCCGCGGAGGGGTGGGGAAATTTTCGAATTTTGATGCTTCCAGTTCGCTTGAAAATGCACTTATTGAATAAATTTTACCACCTTACAATACATACAACCTTACTCCTTGTGTTGTTGTTACGGTTCAACTTATGTAACGTGTCGCGATGGATTTCTTTGATGGGGTGGTCGGGACAGTTAAGAATTATGAACAAAGAGACTAATAAAAAGTCTAATAAGGTAGTCGAAAAATGAATTTGAGTCACCTCTTGGTCTACCATTAACATCATGTTGTTTCTTAAAACGTTGTTCTTACAACATGGACCAAACTTTGGCGTTAATAGATCCAGGCGACCTGAAAGCAGTGTGATGTAATGTGTTTAGTTTTCTTTAGTTTCAGTTCGCCAACTAACAGTTGAAATATAAGCGTTCCGAAGTGCAAAGAGGACCAAATCGAAATGAAAATTATATCAGTCAAATTTTTCACCAATTATCATTGATTTCTAAATTTATACCAACCACCAAATTTGCCGAGTTAAAAAATGTCGAGTTTCCCAGGTAAAGAACCGATTCATGACTTTTGGGGGATGTCACGTAACCTATCCGCCCTGTAGCGCCGCCTCTGCTGGAGTTGTTGTTGCTCGGAGCCTGGACGCTTAAAGGGCCTCTCCAGCCAAATTTTGCACTTGCAATTTATTGGCTAATCTAAAGGAGTTGAACCTGCTGATCACGAATTCGTTATTTGTTTTTCGATATATTGTTTACAGTTTGTGAGATATAAGCTCTTGCATTTCGATAATTTAATTGAATTAACCGACAAAAGTTTTTTCGGTTTGGTGACACTGTGACGCAATTTTGACGTCACAGTATATTTCGTTAGTCTCGCCTCAAACCGAATCGAACGACGGCGATTCGCAAATTGAACACTGCAAGTGATGGTACTCTCAGTTCTGTTCCACCGGCTTTTAGTTTGAGCATTTCAGATATCAATTCTGAAGCCTTTAGTTGTTCATCGTTTCAGGAAAACAACTGAAGTGTCAATTCCGATTAATTATACGCGAGGGAAGAGCTGGAACAGGAAGCCGTAGCTTTGTGGGCCTACCCAGGTGATCAAAGTCGTGACACAGCATGGACACATTCCGACCCGCAAACTTAGAATAATTGTAAACATTTAATATTTTTCGATCCTAAAAAGCACCTGTTGTAGATTTAGATGCAGTTATCAACGTGTGACCATGACTCCTTCACGATTTGGTGGTAGATATACGAAATTCATGACGAACGAGAGCCGCACACTGTGACGTCAGAATGTCACAAAACTGATTCGGCTTTTGTCGTTTTTTTCTCGGAAAGGTGCAACTTTAAAGCCTTATAACTTCTAAACTAATTGGAATTTTGCAAAAACAACGACTTTGCCATAATACACGCACCAGATGCCAACTTTTTAGTCAATAAAAAAAACCTTTTTTTTGGCTGGAGAGGCCCTTCAAGTTTTGAAAATAACCACTCGCATTCCACTTGAGCTACAACCAGCGCATTATAAAAGTGTTTGAAGCATCCACTTTTAAGAGAGATTTGCTGCTAACTTATGTGTTGGATGCCAAGTATCCAATTCTGAACTATGAACTCGAGTCTACTTGTAAATGGGGCATTGTTTATTTAACCAAAATTTGCATGTCCAGCTTTACAATTTGCATTAACCTTTAAAATTTGCATGTCCAATTACAATGCAGGCAGTCAATGATGAATTATTGAGACTAAATACAAAAAAAGCGTCTACAATTGAAAGTATTCCTCCGCGGATACTGAAAGAAAACGAAGACATTTTTGCACCATTACTGACGACAATTTTCAATAATTCATTGCTCCAGAAAACGTTTCCTGAAGATCTTAAATTAGGAGACATAACTCCACTATTCAAAAGTGACAAAACTACAGAAAAACGAAACTATCGACCTATCACCGTTCTATCCGCATTATCAAAGGTCTTTGAACGGCTTCTATATGCTCAGATGGTCGACTTCGCGGATACGTTCCTAGTTCCCTACTTATGTGGTTTTCGGAAAGGTTTCAACACACAGCATGCGCTGTTGAGATTAATGGATATCTGCAAGAATTCCCTAGATAAAAAAGGGGTGGTTGGTGCCTTGCTAATGGATCTCTCAAAAGCGTTTGATTGCATAGACCATGAGCTATTAATTGCGAAATTAAATGCCTATGGTTTTTGTAAAGATGCTCAATTATTGATTTATAATTACCGGTCCGGTAGAAGACAAAGGGTAAAATTAAATGGTTCATTCAGCACTTGGCGAGAAACCTTTGCAGGTGTACCACAAGGATCAGTCCTTGGGCCTCTTCTCTTTAATTTATATATTAATGATTTATTCTTAATGGTAACTGATACTGCAGTATGTAACTTTGCTGATGATACTACGATTTTTGCAGCTGACTGTCAATTAGATAAAGTTTTAGAACGGCTAGAAACTGATGCTCTTATTTTATCAAAATGGTTTCCAGAAAACTTTATGAAATTGAATGCAGGGAAATGTCATCTTCTTACTTTTGGAACAAATCAAGATGACTTTAAGATCAAAATCGGTGAGGCCATTGTTGAAGAAAGCTCTGAAGAAAAACTGCTAGGGGTGATAATAGATAAAAATCTTAATTTCAAAAGTCACGTCTCAAATTTATGCAAAAGAGCCAGCCAAAAACTGCATGCTCTTGCTAGAGTTTCGCCATTTATGGGTTCTGATAAACTGCGTCTCCTAATGAACAGCTTCATAAAAGCTCAGTTTAGTTACTGCCCCCTAATTTGGATGTTCCATGACAGATGTCTGAATGCTAAAGTAAATAAAATCCACGAAAGAGCACTCTCAGAATTGTTTATAAAGACAGTCATGCTGACTACGAAGCATTGCTGACTTTGGATAATGCAGTATCAATTCACCAACGCAATCTACAGTACTTGATGATAGAAATATACAAAACCAAACATAACCTGAACCCTAGTTTCATGAGTGAGATTTTTGAAACAAGAA